TTTTAAAAAAAAAAAAAAAAAAAAAAGAAGTTGCATTTGAAGTTAGGCAAAAAAAGGAGGTAGGTATAGCATGTGTATTGCCGATCTAATAAGTGTGGTAAGCCCCTTTCAACATGGATTTTAAAAACAAAAAACAAAAAAAAAGGTGTGGTTGTCCTTTAAGAACCAGCAAATCAGTCAAAAGCGTTGCCAGGTTTAATTTCTTAGCATCAATTGTAGGGTGTGATTAAGTTTGGCAAAATTAACTTTTTAAATTATCTTAAATTACAAATACCAAATATTCATAGGACTATTCATCTTTCTACACTTACCTTTATTTCCATTTTCCGAGATCAAGAAACCCAAGATTAAAAATGCACACATACAACATTACTTCTTTACATCAATTATGAAAAGAAAAAAAAATGGTTTTGACATCTTAATAAGCATAAAAAACATATTTTTAGTTTAAAATCCAATGCTGTAGTAGATTCAGAAGGCAGAACCTCAAATGAGAACTGTGTACACATTGCATCTGTCACAAAAGCCTTTCAGAATAATTAGTACTAAAATCTATACAATAAACACATGCAACGCGATTAAGTTAGGATGGTTAATTAAGACAAACACAAAATACAAAAAAGGCACCAGAGATTCTTAATTGCTAGAGTGAGCACTGGATCCACAGAAAGCAGTGGAAAGACAAAAGTTCAAATTACAATAAATCAAAGAAAAATTAGTATTTAACATACAGATTTAAAGAAAGAAGCCATAGTGACTTTGGGGCTTTAGAATATAATAACTAAAGCAACAACAATTGCGCATTCTTATCAGTTGCATGGTCTTGTATTATGCAGTGTTTCCCATTGCAGATAAAATGGATGGACAAGAAAATAGGACTGTTTCCAATAGAACCAGTTCCAATGAATGTATTGTGCTTATAAAAAGCCCTATATACTGGATTTACCAGTCAATTATTGGGGTCCTTCCCATATAAACATGAAGCCCATGCTGTAATGCACTTCGTAGTGCATTTTGGGAGATGAGTCCTGAGTGTAAGTAAAGGCAAAACCTAGAGTGGATCTGTCACAAAGCTCAGCACCATTCTTGAAAACCACTGAAGAAAGCAGCCATTTTACAACTTAGAGCTCACATTACTTTCATTGCAGTACTATAACTAGCCGATACATTTACTTATTTTTACTGCTTTGGAATGAGTATATAGTCAATACAATACATTCTCAGCACTCTTTACCAGAAAATTATATTATCAGAAGTTGGTGGAAAGCTGACCACTAGGAGGTAGTATGCAGGCACAACCCCACGTTATTGAGCTCCAGCATTTCCAGTGAAGGGTACTGTTAATGCTACAGCATTCAAAGACATTTTATACAACTGTGTGATTCCAACCCTCTGGCAAACAGGTCGGAGAAGGCCCTTTTCTGCTCTAGCATGACTACGCCCCTGTGCACAAAGCCAGATTCTTAAAAACATAGCTTGAGGAGTTTGGAGTGGAAGAACTGAAGTGGCCCACACAAAGCCCCAACCTTAATTCAACTAAAAACACCTTTTGGACGAGTTGGAATGTCGATTGTGAGGGAGGTTTTCCTGTCAAACACCGGTACATGAGCACACAAATGCTGAATGTGCACAAATTCTAACAGACACACCAACATTTTGTGGAAAGCCTTACCATAAGAGTGGAAGCTCTTGTAACCTTAAAAAGGGAGCCAATCTATATCTACTCTATATTAATGCCCATGGTTTTGGAATGGGATGTCCAACAAGCTCATATCGGTGGAATGGTCAGGAGTCCACAAAGATTTGAACATAAGGTGTACATTTTCTTTTTAGTTTTGTGACAGATCGAACTTGATCAAATCAATCTTTTGTCTGTTGTATGAAAGTGTCTTTTTGAATGAAATCTCATTTAGACAGAATTGGATCTTTAGGCAATGGTAAATGCATATATGGCCACAATAAGATTCTACTCAACAGAGTTTGCTGTACATGAAATCTGATATTTTCATTCACTCCTGATCTAATGGCAATCAAAAAGAAAAAAGGAGACTGCCAAGACTTCTCTGTGGTGATTTTCATGGGAGTTGGTGATGGTATAGATGCCTACGTAACTACACAGAGGGATCCGATTAAAGGGGCTATTTTTAGTTTGAAAACAAAGTCCCAGTTAAGCATCTAAAATCTGGGCAGAAAAATAAAGTTGATAGTTTTAAAAAGTCTGTGAAGTGAGCAAAAGCTAAATAAAAGTTCTACCCAATCAGCGGCATCTAGTATTAGTTTTCAAATATACAAAAACCTGCGCTCTGAGTGGGTAACCGCATGCATCTGGGCTTCGGAGAACACACAGCACAGTTTTTAAAAATGATTCAATATTTTTTGATTTGTTTCTAAGAAAGACAATTGGGCAACTGATCATTTGCAACTCAATGAGCATATGTAGGCAGGTAATATAGAAGATATATAAAACTAGCAAAAAAAAAAACCCCGCAACTTGAATTTTTTGGAGGATATTTAAATGCACCCACAATTATTATTTAAATACCTTAAATAATAATTGTGGGTGGATTTAAACTTCAGGGCAATGTTGAACTAAACCAATAAATTTAACAGCTTCCTTTATCTGTTGGGGACTCGCAAGATCTCCCTACAACAGTTACTGGCTCTGCTGCCAGCACCATGATTTTTCGATCAATTACAACAGCATAAAATAAGGGGAAAACCCCAAAATAATGAGTTAAACCTGCCTTGTAATGACAGATGGGAAGATCGAAGAGGTCAGGTGGAGAGACATTGCAATGAAGTCGCCAAGAGATAAAAAGAAATGTGCATGTGGTCAGTACCCCTCAGCCATCAACACAAACATATGATCTCTTCTCAATTTAAACTAGCAGTCAGTAAAGAAAGCAGACAGGGGTTAGTGGGGGGGGGGGTGGGTTAATCAGAACACTAACTTATCTCGTCTCTTTAGGAATTGGAAGAAAAAGCAGCACAATGGACAGACTGCCGCCAGGTGACCGATTGCTTTAACTGCTATTAGATTTTGGTTTCGGTTACATAAACGCATTAGCTCTACCTTGTCGTGTTCCTCTTTGCTCATGCTAAGTGCAAGCTGAAGCTGCAGTTCATCTTCGGACACAGCAGGGGGCTGGGAAAGAAAAACAAAATAAAAGCACAAGACACACCAGCATGGTGGGAGAAGAACCACAAAAAAATAACACATGGAGGGAAGGGCAAATGAGGACAGATGAGTTAAAACATCATGAACTGCCATATATACCACAGCTTCAGGTCTATTAATAAATTACATTGATATTAACCAAAAACAATAGATATTGTAAATGACAGAATTGTATGGGAGGTTTCAACTGTCTTTCAAAACGTTATGGGGCAAAACAGTAGATTGGGTATTTAGATAATGCCAACCTTCCAGAGTAATTTGTATCATATACATTCCAATTAGTTTTCAGGCTGGCAACACATGGTAAGTGGAGAGGTAATGCACGGTAAGCCAAAAATACCTACTAACCCATCATAATTTTTGAACAATCTAGACAGAGATTGAAAGCCTGAAGCTGGGAATACTGCGGCCATAAAACCAAAAAGAACCAAACACAATGGTTAAATATAAATAAAGATAGGTAAACCAAAACCTTAGCAAATAAATGGCACATGCTGGTAACAGGAAGTAGGGAGTAGAAGAACAAAAGTTTATGAAACTAGAAAAAGGGAAAAAGTAGGGTCTTTCTTCTGGTCCAAAAGGGAACTGTAACAGTCATCTTAATGTAACTGGAAATAAAGCTGGACTCCAGCCTTCAGTCTTGCACAGTCGTATAGAAGAGCTCTACTATACTGATATTGCTTACTCTGACTTCACTGCACACTGTGAGCTTCTCCCGTTGTTCGTTGAAAGCTGCAACAAATCAGATAGAGCCCACCTCATTTCCTGCCTGAAGGACATCCAGCATCATCTAACGCCTTCCTGTCCCTGGTCTGCCCCCTTTATTCATTAGATTTCAGTGGTGGAGGCTCAGTATCACATGTTGGCATTACCTAAGGCGGTTTGCATGCAAATACAGTCGGCCTGCTCTTGAGAGGGAGTACTGAGGTAGGGTGCTATGGTTCAGGAAGCCATGTACAGCACCCCGATGGCACCTCCCACAAACCATGATTTGCAAAATATTATCAGATTAAAAACTTCAGCTATAAAATCACTACAGATACTGAGGTCTACAGGAAAGTGAAGTGGGTTCCTCTGGACAGCTCAAGACTGACCTTTAATAAGAGCTACTGCATAGTAAATCATCTGCAGAAAACCTGCAGATGTACAGGAAAATTTCAAGTTAAATGAAAGCAATGGTGAGCAAAACCTGCAAAAAGATCCTGCAGAAGCAACAAATTTGGTAAATTCAAGGAGTAGAAAACACCATTGTACAAAATAAAAAAAAAAACACAAGTCAAATAAAATGTTAGCTCATTCCATATGTCATTCAAAATAATGGAAGCGTTATACATCTCTTTGATCAGACCTACTTCACCAAGTATGTGTAAACAGAAGGCTGAGGATCCCCCAGTGTCACCTATAAGGAGTAACGAAAAGCCACAAAAGGATCACATTTAGGTTTCAAGGTTAAATGTTGAACACCAGTCTCACTACTTTGACCAGACACTGCGGGACTGACAACAGCTGGCATCTTAGAATTGTTGTGTACTCCTGAGCAATAAAGTTACTTAAAACGCATACACATTTCTGAATCTGTCAAGACCATTATTTGGTTTTTTGTTGTTGATTTATTTAAAACACGCAAGATTAAGCCAAAGGGAATCATGTTTTATAGAATAAAAATATATAAAAGGGTAATAAGGATAGTTAACAAAACCTCTGCATGGAACGGAGTGAAAAGATTTAATAGAAATGAATGCAGCTCTGTATTCAATATTAAATCCTTATATTCATTTTTTTTTTCTTCAAAAGTTGTAGCAATAGATTTAGTAGCCGATTACTACTTGATAGCAGGCTCTTGCATTCCTTTATTCAGGAGCACTCAGACCAGGAGAGGGTGGCGCAGGATTGGGAGCCAATAAAAACTGCTGCATGCAAAATGGAATGACAAGTAACATGCAGATAGAAAGACAGAGCAAAGTGAACAGAGAGATGACCTCATGAGTCTGCGCCTGCTCTTTCAGGGCTAGTTTAGATTCTGGCCGGAACGCACTGAATGGCATTGCAGCCAGCTCTCTTTGTAGTGGAGCGGAAGGGGGAGTGGCGGTGCATTGAAGTGAATGGCACCGCAGCCACGCCCTCCGGCAGCAATGCGATCAGCCGTACGGGAACGCAAGGCACATTAAAAAAAAGTGCTTGCAGCATTTTTTGACCGGACCGGGCTGCAGGCATTGATGTGCCTTGCCTTCCCATGCGGCCAAAGGCTGTGGCTGCGGTGCTATTCACTTCAATGCACTGTGTTCATGCACTGTGGCTGGCGTGAACTAGCCCTCAAGGCACCACTGTATTCCTTAACTTAATGTAATCTACCTGGCTCAGCTTGTGTGAGGGGGAAGTGTAAATCTTAGGACTGAATGAACAGAAATACAAATCCTTTTATTAAACAGCTCCGTTAAATGCAATTTAATTGCAAATGTAGCTGGAACAAGAA